AAAATAAAGAAAATCGGTAAAATTCCTCATAACTCCTATGAGAAGTTGACTAACAGTTAGTTTCCCAACTCATTCGGTATTCAGGAGCTTGCAGCTGCTATTCAGACTTTGTATAACGTCAACAGTGTCTGAGCAGAAAGTTGATGAACCAAGGGTATGTCAAAGAACGTCTTGTCCTTTTTCTAAAAAAAGGTTCATCGGAAGATACCAAGACCTTGTTGATAAATATTTCGTTTCAACTTCACAAATAATACACTATGGTCTTGAAGTATAGATTCTAGATACTGACGTTGTTTGTCATCTTAATAACGTGTTATAGTATTCTTTTATTTGTATTTTGTAATTTATTACTTTTACTGTTTAGCCTATTTCTGGCAATATCCATTTGACGTGGTTCGGTACTTGTACATCCCGTCATTGTGTTGTTGTGCTATAGTAAATTGTTGTATTATTGTCTTCTGGTTTTGCTAATGTGCTTTGTCTATATGCCTTTTTGTTTGTCTTTGATGACATATTTGCTTGTTTTTGTTGTGATTAAGATTATAACACAATGTTGACTGCTGTACTACTATTTTTAACTTTTTTACCTATTAAGTCTGTTTGATTTGTTTACAAATCGTTGTCAATATAATGGAATTTTATGCGACTGTCGTACAAGTGAGAGGTTTATCTAGCTATAAAACCTGGTTTAATCCACCATTTTCTACATAAGAAAATGCCTGTACCAAGTCATTCGTTTGATGTGTTTCAGCTTTTGATTTTGCCATTTGCTTAGGGACTTTCCGTTTAGAATTTTCCTCGCAGTTCGGTATTTTTGTTATTTTACTTTTTAGTTGATTTATACTGTATTTGCGCAGTCAAATTGCATTTACCCTATAGTAATTTGTAATTTAAAGTTACTAACTGTGTATTGCCTTGTTTGTGGCGTTAGCAATGCGTGTCCGTAGAGTTTTAATCAGACGCTAATGAATACTACAGGTTCGCGAAATGTTTCAAATTGAAAATTGATGGTGTTTACCCTAAATATCTTATGTTGAAAAGATGAAAGATTTGACGTATGAAGAAAATTAACGTTACAATGTCTCGAAATATATATGATATCTATACTCGCTTCGCAATGGGATATGAATGTCTTGCATTCCACCTGTACTAAGTGTTGTACAAATCAATTTTGTATTTCGAGACAACCTATAGATATTCTTTATGTAAATGGACGGTAAGTAGATCTCAAAATTCTGAAAAATATTTACTTATTAGAATTTCTATAACTATAGCGGTTTTTTTTTCAGATGATAGACACCACTTCCGTTTACATGTTCTATTTTTAATCATGTCGGCCCTTTTGGTTGGCAGGTGGAATTATAGGAAACATTAAAACTAAATACCCCAAAACAAAAACAACGACGACAGACACGAATTATTGACAATAGTTCACATGTACATTTAGTTTCATATGAGCTTAACAAGTAGATACAGAAAGATGTGGTATGAGTGCCAATGAGACAACTCTCCATCCAAGTTACATTTTATAAAAGTAAACCATTATAGGTGAAGGTACGGCCTTCAACACGGAGCATTGGCTCACACCGAACACCAAGCTATAAAGGGCCCCAAAAAATCAGTAGTGTAAAACCATTCAAACGGGAAAACCAACGGTCTAATCTATATAAAAACGAGAAACGAGAAACACGTACGAACTACATAAACAGACGAAAACTACTGTACATCAGATTCCTGACTTAGGACAGATGCAAACATTTACAGCAGGATTAAACGTTTTAATGGTACCAAACCTTCTACCTTTTCTGAAACAATAGTATAACATCTCCACATAGAAAGACACACACTATAAAATATCAATTGGAAGGCTTAACTCAATCAAAAAACATAAATTAACACACAATGAATGAATAAATTTGATCTGTGATACCTGAATGCAAATACATAGTTAATAAAAATTATAAGGGATAAATAATTAAAGTCAAAAGTCAATAAACAGGTTTAAACAAAGTTAAAGTATGATATGACTGTGAAATGTTAAACATTTTTTTAGAAAATCATCACTTTTGAAGAAACCTGCGTCATATTATACACAGGTAAATGAAAATAATTTTGTTGTTAAGTATACTTCTTCTTCTGTGTGTATAAAATCTTCCGTTTAGGAATACCAAGAGATTTCTTTAATATCAATAAAACTAATCTAACACTTGGTACATATGGGGTGTATATCAACAATAAAACTATACAATTAGTGCTAAATGAAACTAGCATACTTTCCTTTTTCGTTACAGAGAAAGGCTTTAAACGAGTTACAGCAAATAAATTTACAATGAGATTTTTCGAAAGACCATTTTATTAAATATGAAAACTTTTTCTTTATTAGATTGCGTGGAAGAGTAGTGTAGAGAGTAGAAAAATCATAACTGTCAACAGAATTAAAAGGACCATCAAAAGCATGTATTTTATGTAAAACCTCTAAAGAATTTTTAACACTCCAAAAATAATCAATACCATTATTTTCATAAGCTTTATTACAAAAGTTAATAAGCAGTTCTTTGAAAGTAGTAAGGGAGGTAGTAAGAAGCACTGATAGATTAGTAGTAGAACACTTACTAGATGCGGATATGAAAAGGAATTTAAATGGTTTTTTTTGTGTAATTTCGGTAACCAGTACATGGTAGGGACTTTCAAATGTTCGGAAGAGGCTTTAAGCTGGGTAGTGGCAGTGATATGCTTGTTAACCATTTGACTCTCAATTGTGCGTACGAACCTGAATGTAGAGGAATTGATAATTTCGTTTTGAAGAACTTCCGTGTAGTATATGCGTCATACCACCACTACATTATTGGCTGTCTTGTCTTATTTTGACGTCTAAAGTAACTGACGTATAATTAAAAATCAAACTTCTGCTCGGTTTTTATAAGAATACGAAATAATGGGTGGTTCTATATTATCAAAGATATGTTTGGTGTTAAGCATGTAAAATGAACAAACATTGAATGTTACAATAAACAAATAACTTACGTTGGGCTGTAACTATCAACAAAACTGTTGTTTGGATAAGTAGCAGAAATAACATATCAGCTGTTGTTATAATGTGATTCCTGCAGGGTACAGTCACAACCTATATTTTGATATGATATATAGAAAATATGATTTTAATGTTAACAAACTATAACGTCAGATGAAAATGTGTCCAGTTTTTATGGGATTAGTATTCATTGAAAAGAATATTCATTTAAATAAAGAGCAGTATGCTATTTTGTTCTATTATTAAGACTTTTTTTTATTCTGTCAGTAGGACCTTTTTTCTTAAATAAAGGAACCCTCCTTTGTTGATTTAAAAAAAAACATACGAATAGCCTTATAAGATGAGATAACCTTGATAATTTGATAAATAAAGGATGTACGTGTGACGGTATTAAAGTATGATAAACCATGTTTTTGTTTTAACCTTTTGATTCTTTATTTCAAAATGAAGTCATATAATTTTTTTTTTATTTCTATACGCATCATTATTATGTAGACCTTACAAAACTGATACGGTTGTCAGGTCATTAAAGATGGCATTGTTTGGAATTAATATTGATTCACTCATAGGGTCTTTGCATCGAAAATAAACAACCAGTTTTTGGCATGATACGGATTATGGTCTTCTCATATATTTTATGATGGTATGATACTAAACCCCTAAATAGAGGGATTTCGCTTGATTTTCATATGATGAAGACATAATCTTTCTATCAGTTTAATTGAGGTCTGGAACTGGCATGTCAATAACTGCTAGTAGTCTTTTGTTAATTTATGTTATCATTGTCATTTTGCTTAGTTTCTTCTGTTACCTATTTTACATCGGACTCGGACTTCCTCTAAAAGAGGGACGAAAGATACCAGAGGGACAGTCAAACTCTTAGATCGAAAACAAGCTGACAACGACATGGCCAAAAATAAAAAGACACACAGACAAATAATAGTACAGATGACACAACATAGAAAACTAAAGACTAAGCAACACGAACCCCACCAAAATCTGGGGATGATCTCAGGTGCTCCGGAAGGGTAAGCAGATCCTGCTCCACATGTGGCACCCGTCGTGTTGCTTATGTTATTACAAATCCGGTAAATAGTCTAATTCGGTAGTTTTTCTGTGCGTATTGCTATGTGATTGTTTATTCTACATTGGCTAGAGGTATAGGGGAGGGTTGAGATCTCACAATACATGTTTAACCCCGCCGAAATTTTGCCTCTGTCCCAAGTCAGGAACCTTTTACCTTTGTTAGTCTTGTCTGTTTTTTTTAATATTGGTTCATCTATATGTTTCGGAGTTTAGTGTGAAGTCCATTTTCTCTGAACTAGTTTACATTTTTGTTTAGTGGCCAACTGAAGCGCATTTGACATAGGATTTAGCAGCGGCGCTTAAATTAAATCAGTTGGGTGGCATTATTTAATAGAAAGTTGAAAAGCATATTGAAAACCTAAAATTCGAAGAAAAAAAAATTGTTACAAATACGGTTAATGCCTGAGCAACATAATATCTTTGTTAAGGTTAAAACAGGAAATTTTAAACATTATATTTCATCTTCTGTGTAATTTTCGAAACATACCTGCGCCAATGATATTCTATACAGGAACTATGAAAGAAGTCCTTTGAAATATTTTATATGCGACAATTCATTACAAATAACAATGTTGTACTTAGTAAGAGGAAGACATAAATTACATCCGGAGATAATCATTTGATAGATATAACTATTTATATACCTATATGGAGTTATTTTCTTTCAGAACGATAGGTCATTCTTTTTCAGAATCAACCCGGACGATACCATTTTTCAATGAAATATGCTCCAAGGCATAAAATAATGACCTGTGTCAGGTCATTATTTTATCCTGATTGAAAAACTACTTTAACTGTTTGTTAACAGATTTTATTCATTTTATTTTACATGAATTAATCATAACGAAAAATTGAAAGAAAAGTTGCAAGTCACAGTTTTTTTTGTCACTCTCGTCTGTTGAACATTCAACCGAAGCACTACCAACTGGTGCACCGGCAACTGCTGATGGTTTTGCCTTCTTACTTCCATCTGACGGTCTTAATCCATACAAGATGTTCGATGCCTCTATTTGTTGATCGGCAGAAGTCCTTTTGTAAACTCTTACTGCATTACTACGATGACCTGCAATACATAGCTTAATTATTTTTGCGTTTACGTTAGCACTTTTTATTTTTATTGAACTGCATATTCAACATCACAATAAAAGGAATAAAACTCAAAATTTTAGCAGTAACTGAAGCATGACGGACAAACAGACGAGCGGACGAGTTATGGTAAATCTGATTACCCAAAATATCGTGATCGTGACAGATACAATCATTTATCTTAATGATAAGTTTCCTGAAGTCTCTGTACAAAGATAATTATACATTTTTCTTACAATCATCAGTTCTCTATTAAAGCAATTGAAAAAAAAACTGTGAAAAAGAACAGTTATTGGGTAATGTCATGCAGACAAGGAATACCTTCGTGTTTGTTTTTTTTTCATGCCATTTTGTGTGTTCTAAATAAGAATATTAAAAATAAAAGACTAGAAATTATAATGTTTCATTTTACTATTATATTACCTGTTGTTTCGGCCACACGTTGTTCTTCTATGCCAGCATTATAAAGACGTGTTGCTGCTGAGGCTCGGAGGCTATGGTTTGTACGTTTTCCAGTCAGTCCAATACTTGTGCACAACCGTTTCACAGTGCCTTGTAAAGTGTTGTGTCCAATAGGAGTTTTGCTATACCATTGTCCATCTTTGATATGTTTTAAAGGTGTAAGGTAAAAACAATCCTTTCCGCCATTTGTTGGACTTAAATAAAAGAAAACGTTTTGTAAAATTTTACTTCAAACACACATAATGTAATAATGTAAATTAAAGATGATTTTAATTATTATAGGTAAATTACAGCTAATTTCCTAATGCTTGTGGAGTAAAACTTTGGCTGGCTTACTTGCTTTGTTTGTATAAACGTAAGCTGAAGCATTGTATTTAAGATTGTCATCTGCAAACAATATAAACAGGCATTATTAAACAAGTATATATTATATTTAAATTTGATTGAAAGTTATCCCAATTACAATTGTCAATATACAAACAAAACAAGCAAGCTAACCAAAGTCTTACCCTGCATGCATTAGGAAATTAGCTGTAAAAGGAAATTACGTTAGATTAGATCAACAAATATTTCAGATTTTATCATATTCATTGAAGCATAATGAGAAGATATATTAAAGAAAACAGTATTAAATCCTGTGGATTTGTATTGGAAAATTTAATTCAACCTTTGGATGTCTGTTTTGTGTTCATGATTTGTTTTGATGTGTTACATGTACATTAGACGATTTTCATATTTTTCTGCTGCCTTTGGTTTTTTTTTTTTAAAGTTTTATACATTGTTTGTATATTCTTTACACCATTCAATTTTCATATTTTCTCATGTTCTTTACCTTTATAAGGAAATCGGTACAGAGAGGGCTTCATCTTTTAAATTTGGAGGAGGGGATACCACTGGCGTTGTCATTTTTTTTTTCGATCTATGAGTTTGAATGTCCCTCTGGTATCTTTCGCCCCTCTTCTATTGTCATTTTAACGTACAAGGAATACCATTAGTCGTTTTTTTTGTAAGTGTTGAAAAGCGTTAACGCGTTAAATATAAGCCCCCCCCCCCCCCCATTTTATAAAGTTATTTATAAATAATAAGCTACTTACCAAAGTGACTTGTACTTTTCAAATACTGTAACAATACATCTATTTCTGTTTTCTGGGTTTTCAAATGCTCGGACACATTTTGGAACAACTTTTCTGTGCTTAAGGCCACCTGCGTTAGCTTTTGAAACATCCTCTTTGTACAACAGGTATCTTAATTTAGCATCCTTATCTTGAAAGGGACCAGTTATTTGCGGATTAGAACTAAGTCTGAGCTGTCGGTGTTCAGTGCCTCCCCTTAATGCAAAATGCAAACCACACAAATAAAGCAACGTGTCTAGAAGTTGTTGGGGATTATCCACGCCAAGGATACCCTTATCATATAATGACGCTTCTTCATCTACCGATATCACATCAGCCTGCTTGCGCGTATTTGCACCGAGACCTTCAGTGGCCCTTTCTTTCATGACAGCATCTAACACTTGTCTAGCCCGAAGAAATTCGGGATCCATGAAGAAGTTTATACTAGATGATTTCTGATGACGATAATATCCCTGTATTGAGGAAAACAGGTCATAAATACTGTTGGACGGATATTTACCTCCGTCTTTTTTTTTGGCCTCTGCAATGAAATATTGTAACGAAGTCGACAGTTCTGTTTTGTCCATGTGTACCAAATCCTTTTGCAAACAATTCGAAGGAATTCCTAAATTATCTGATATCGGACGTAAACGGCGCTCGGCTTGCCAACTATTGAAAGCATTATAACCCCATTTATATTTTTTGACTGAATTTTTCGGCACCGATTCCTCAATCTTGTTTTGAAGGGATTTTGCTGTCTCTGGTTGACCGTGTCTAAATTGATGACTTATACTAGTTATTTCCAAATCATTACCACTTGGTTTTAAATCAAAATAACTTAGAATATCACTTTCTTTTTCTTCACTTACTTGAGAATACGAACTTTGCGTAAGAAAAATCGGGTCCCACTCTAACAAATCTATACTATCCATGGTCGTAATGTGGATTTTCTTTTAATATAACTGGACAATGATTACACACTTTTATATCTTAATTAGTGAGTTTTATTTTAGTGAATTATTTTCACCTTATTTGCATATACATTATAATTTAAATGTTAGGCGTGGTTATAACCAAACTAATTTGAGCAGAATCTCCCACTTTAATGATCGGTAAAATAGGATAGAAATTTCTGCAAAATTGTAATAAACAGAATTTTTTTCGACGGTATATAAGTCAGATAATGCATATTTTTAGGTTTTTCTTGTCGTAGAACACACCTCGGGGTGTCAGAATTGCTCAAAGAAAGACCTCCCTACGGTCGGTCTTTCATTTGATCAATCCTGACACCCCTCGGTGTGTTCTACGACAAGAAAAACCTTAAAGTATGCATTATCTATAACATAACTATAGAAGTAACTATATTTGTACATCTTCCTAGTAAATTACACCAGTTTCAGGTCATTAATATCTTTACTTTGTCTATTCAAGCGATCATTTGTTTATAACATAGGTGTGTTTGATCAAAATTTTGTCATTTTAATGATCACTGAAATTCGTATTTTTTGTTTCTTCACATTTTAAACATATGTTTTATGATAAATGTGACTAAGTACTGATTATAGAATATTTTAAAATTTGTGAATGAAGTGATGCATTTAAGCACCCATAAAAAGGTGGGAAAATCAAAAAAGGAAACACTATGACATACATCCTGGAGACATGTAGGCATAAGAGTGGTTCGTCTCCTCGTTCAGCTGCTAATGTGAGCATGCAAGTTTGATGTTACAGTATAATTCCTTGGAAGCTATTGCATCAAGGGTTCAAACTGGGAAAGTTGATGTTATCCTTGTGATAGAGTTACGGACGCCGTTATGGTAAAATTGACTTTGTTAATATCGATCACATATGTCTATGAATATGACCCAATTTTCGTAACGCAGTCCAATCATCATCTTCTTCTCGAGCGTGACATTACAAAGAGCAACTACTTTGAGTGTTCACTTGTTAGAGCAACACGGCGGTGGAACTACTTGAGTTGACCACCAGTTTGTGGTGTTGTTGGTGTTTCTTCGTTGTTGGACGTCTTAATGTGTTTTTTCTTTTGTTGTTTTTATCTTTTGGCCTTGATATATTATGCTTTTATTAGACTGATGAATTCGGAATGTTCCTTTTATATTTTTTTTTTTAATCGATGATTAAATTTCGTACATCAATGTTTAATACAATAAATTAAGACATTATTGCGATAGTTCTATCAATGGAAAAAAACGGACATGATCAGATTCACAATAATGAATAATTTCATCTATAATTTCATCTGAGATTTTCCTTCCACAACTTTTAGCAATCGTATTTATTTGATCTTGCATTTTTACAAGTAATCAGGGATTCGCTGTAATAAAGGATCTTAGTAATTTCCGAATTTAGTGTTTCCAAGTAAAGATAGTGTCTATGCAGTCAATATTCCTCATTATCATAATTAATGAGTTTTTGTGTCGGGAGTACAACCCTGTTAATAAACAGTACAATATTAACTTGCAGGCGCGTAACATAGTAATTAGGAAAAGCAATAAGGCTAAATACAAAATGAACTTTGAACTTTTGATGTTGTTCAATTGTTATCAGATAAAAACATGAGTGGTTAGATGAAGAACATGTTTTTAGCAAAAAGATTGATTGAAAACTTTAATCGAGTGTGAACATTATGTAGATGTATTTCAAATATAAGTAAAACTTTCACGTGACTATTTCCATAATATATTTTGATTAAAGAGCAGGTTGACATATTGATAGAATGCGTTTCAGAATACATAACATGGAACAATACATAACACCTAGGTATTTATGTCAAATTTAATCTTCATCAATTTGCAATTTGTAGAGTGAATCATTCTTTGTATGCAGTTTAATCTGTCGTATTGATGTATCCAATTAAGACATACGTCGACCACTTCATTTTCTGCACTAATTTTCCGCTTTCTATCTACCGTTACCACATCTAAATGAAAAATATTGGTAAAGCACTATGATTCTCTATTCTCTCGTCTCTGTATCTACATCTTTGTTTTCACACTGTTGTTTGATTGAAAATTATTATGTTTACAATAATACAAATAGATTGGGAAAAATGCCAATGAGTCGTCAATGCAAATGTACAAAAACAAAAAAAATTAAATGACACCCAGAAGTCAGCATACAGTTTAAAATATAATAATTGTCTTTCGTTGGCAAAATTGTTAGGTTTACACAATATGTTAAGTATGTCAAAAATAATGGTAACGAGATAAATTGAAATATTTCCTATCTAAATCGGGAATTATGACATTCTTATCTGGACCTGTTGTTGAGAGTTGGAATTCACTCTTCTTTCTTGGTGTGTTTTTCTAATTACTTTACGGTAAGGTCCAAACGATTACTGAATTTTGACATATACATATGTACTACGTACTTAAAAGTATGTTAAGTGTTAAACTCAATGGGTTGTCTTTTTCTGTATGCAATGGTTGCTCACAGAATTATTTTAGATTAACAAGAAGTCTTCTAACAATACACCCAATATTTTACGATAAATGTTTGTTTGGTCTATATCTGCATAACTAACCTATACCTGTTATAATTATTAGAGTTAGTTCTATGTTTTCTTGTTATATATTTCTGCTGAGAATATATAAGTTAATCTTACATCACTTAAACGTTAACAGTAAGAGTGTCATTTAAACAAAAAATTACTTTACAAGTTAAAAGTGCCATTGAGTACCAAACTCATAGGTAAATTCAAAAAGTGGAAGTCCATACAATCTAAAAAAAATCAAAACACTCGGCTATATTAAACAACTATTTAAACCTAGTTGTATACGTAGCTAAACCTAACACTTGTATGACCGTTGTTAATAGTTCCGTTATATAGATAAAATTGTGCCAGAAACCCAAGCACATCTGATTGATTAATGGAACTTTAATTGGAATCCAGCAGCAAAATTTTGTTAACCTACATCATAGATATACAACATATAAAAAATTAAATAATCAAACAAACATGCATCTAGTTCAAACAAAGATGCTAAAAAACAACAAATTTTGCGGTTGATAGTAAATATGATAGAGTACAGTATATTAAAACATATTGATATACACGCTTTCCAAATAAAAGCACAAATATAAAATATAAAAGTAAAATATGAATTCGAGGGTACACAAAATGAAAACAACATTACAAACATGTCATGCGTCCGAAACGCCCAAAACTAAAATCCCGTAAGCCGGAAAAACAAATACCGAGACACAATAAGTGTCATGCGACCAAAAGGCTATAAACGGACAGAAACAAATAAAGGGAAAAGTAATTAAACAATACACAGCGGCAGAATCTAGAATCTCTAACTCGAGCTTCTAAGACCATCCCATATTATTTGTGAGATTTATACTGAGACGTTCTTTGAAAAAGAAACTTTCCGGATTTATTTTTTTCAGACACCAATGACGTTGTACACAGTCTGAGTTGAACATATTCAAGGTGAGGATAATTTCAACGTTGATGAATTTTTAAAAATGAGGCGGATGAAGATCTGTCTGTGGTTTAAGTAGTTTCAGTTCAGAAAGCTATATCTATGAGACCCAAACCAAAGTGTCTGAATTGTTAATAGACAGACCATCATCAATTTATCTGAAAATGAAATTAAATTATCTAGCTTCTTTGATCTTCTTGCTTTTTTAAATGTGCCTGTAGGAATGCAGACTAATATACAAATCTTTAAATTTAACAAATATGTTTTCAATCAGTAACTTCGTCGTATTGCTCTAATGTTCTACGATGTAGCAATTTAATCCTCGTTTTCATTTTTAACAAGTTTAACAAATTTCTTTCTCTCTCTCTCTCTCCCAGTCACACACACAACCATTCATTAATGTAGCAACCGTTATAATACCCATTCATCAACAATTAAATTAGGTAGAATAAGCGAAAAACCGTTGGTGCATTTAGTTGTACATTTTTGTAGTCATTTCTTCTTCGTTTTTGACAAATGGTGTTGACTTTACCTGTTCATCACATATGTATCAAACAATATAAACTTTAATATGTTTTTCCTATATATCTATTGCTTAGTGATTGACGTATGCTGTGTTTATCTGGTCATATTCATTGGACATGGAATCTTTTGTAAGTTCCTCATAAGTAGATACATTTTCCATTCTTACATCCTCATAATGTTGTTGTTCACGACTACAAAATATAACTAACTTATCAATATTTAATTTTGAAATTTATTTGTTAATACTTAGAATAAACATTTATTTTTACTTTAGTTTCTCTTTGAATGCACCAGTACATGTAGGAAGGAATGCAAGATAGTTCAGAGAAGCAAATGTCACATAGGAAACAGCTGCATTATTCCCTTATCCGTTTTACGAAAAGCGAGCAACCACTATATTCCTTCTGTCCAACACATACTAGATTGTGTCTCTTGTCACTCTAATAGTTTCCTTCAACACTATTTCTAATTTCCATAGTAATTGCGCGCAGATGGACGATGCGCTACTTCTATTTATGGATTCATTTATATGATATTTCCCAGGGTTTACCATGTATCAATTAAATCATGTTTTAAATGGAATGCTTCAGAAGAGAACAATAAGTGTTTAACAATGTACCACTTCAATAGTTTTCTTCAGAAAAAGCATTATCAAAACTTTGCAATGACATTGTCCGTTACATTTTCACTGCGCCACAGTATTTGAAAATCCTAATCCCAACCCTAATGCAAATGCCCCTGAAGGGCTGATGAAACCAAAAATGAATCAATGTAAAGAAAACTCTTACAAATATGTATGCAGGCGAGAGATACATTCCTTAATTTAAAATGATTTTCAAATTTCTAACTTCTGCGCTAATGCTACAATCGGAAAATTCCCGGATCAACATATTATCACATAGCATATGATATCTCACTACGTTTTTGTGCGGTTAACGTGTTGGTAGTTCTTTAGTTTTCTATATTGTGTTCTGTAGACTGTTGTTTGTCTTTTCTTCGATTTTTGATATTTTGCCAAGGCGTTATCAGTTTGTCTATGTGTTAAAATGTTTCTCTGACATCTTTCGTCTCTCTTTCAATGTCTCTTTGTTAATTCATGGGGCCAAAATCATGAAAATATGTTACCTAATACAAAGATTGACGAGCTTATAAACCCTAAGAGGACCAAAAGTAAGGTCTTAACTAGAAACATTTCTAAATCAAAACTGATTTTGAAATGCTATAAGTGATACAGCAAATTCAAATTAAATAATATTCGTATTTGCATGACTGTTGCGAATATTAACCTTTCTATTTGTTTTATTGTGACCTCGGTGACTAACAGCCAACCAACAGACATGTCAACCTAGCGGTAGAAATAACATTAACGGCACCATTTTAACTACATATAATGCGCATTTCGAAAATACAATGTGATGTCTCTTCAGTGATGTTCGAGACCGAAACATTTGAAAATCCACAACCTAATACAAACATTGAAAAACTGATCAAACCAAAAACGAACTAAACTAAATAAAATCAATACCCATAATCAGATCAGATCTATGCATGAAGGGAAATAGATTTCGGTATTGAAACTGATTTTGAAATTTATGGACGGAAAATTGAAATACTAGACGTATAAAATCTGCATGTTAATTGGTCAGTGCTGCAACGTAATTACATACATGTTAAAGATGTTAACCTTTGACAATATTCTATTGTGACCGAAGTACTGGCTTAAAGGTACAAAATGCAAACTGTAGATAGCTTACAGCTATTCAACAACAGTTTCGACAGAGTAGCAGCAATAACATTTGTTTAACTGTACGAGATGGACATTTCGACACTTAATGTCTTTTATAAGATGCTCGAGTCAAAATTAATTTAAATATCAAAATCCTAATGCAAACAATGAAAATCTGAATAAAAATAGAAAAACAAACTAATAAAAATCTTAAACAAAGCAGAATAAGCATGGTAGAACACTTTCCTGATTTTAAATAATTTCGAAATTTTTAAATACCAATTTTATATGTTTAGATTTAATTACACAAATCCGTTATTTCATGCCACAGGTACCAATGCCGGAACGTGATTGCATACATAAATATCAACTAAATGACCCACAACAAATCAAGGCTAAAGATTCACTTTTCGAGTATATTGTTAGAAGAAAATAGTTCCAATACTATTAACATGATTTATGCTTTCTACCATAAGCATTATGTTTTTAGATTATTTTGTTAACTTAATATCAATGTTATCAAAGCACTTTAAAATGATACATTCACTTGTCAAAAGAAAGAAATTTATTTGTAGACAAACTAATAAGTGGTTTTTACAAGTTTTAATTATCAATCATTCTACTTATTTATTTTATCTTTAAATATCTATACATAGGTTTTCCAATGACTATAACATGTATAATTTTATGTTTGTATGTTTATAAAATAGATTTGTTTTAAATATTAGAATAAATGTTTTGGTATCCGATAAACATAATGCTATGTAATGCAATGCAATGCATAGATTACATGCCCTTTTGCCAATGTTATGCATTATTCAAGCGTCACTGATGAATCTTTTGTAGACGAAACGCGCGTCTGGCGCAAATACAAAATTTCAATCCTGGTATCTATGATGAGTTTATTTACAACCACTGGGTCGATGTCACTGCTGCTGGAGTTTTTATTCCCCGAGGGTATCACCAGCCCAATAGTCAGCACTTCTGTGTTGACATGAATTATCATTGATATGGTCATAATTATAAATTAACTGTTTACAAAACTTTGAATTTTTGAAATACTAAGGCCTTTATACCTCAGGAATAGATTACCTTAGCTGTATTTGGCAACCTTTTAGGAATTTGTGGTCCTCAATGCTCTTCAACTTCGTACTTTATTTGGCCTTTTTAACTTTGTTTAATTCGAGCGTCACTGATGAGTCTTTTGTAGACGAAACGCGCGTCTGACGCAAGTACAAAATTTCAATCCTGGTATCTATGATGAGTAGATATAAGAGGATGTGGTATGAGTGCCAATGGGACAACTCTCCATTCAAGTCAAAATTTATAAAAGCAAACCATTATAGGTCAAAGTACGGTCTTCAACACGGAGCCTTGGCTCACACCAAACAGCAAGCTATAGAGGGCTCCAAAAATTACTAGTGTAAAACCATTCAAACGGGAAAACCAACGGTCTAATCTATATAAAAAACAAGAAACGAGAAACACTTATGAACCACATCAACAAACGACAACTACCGAACATCAGATTCCTGACTTAGGACAGGTGCAAACAATTGCAGTGGGTTTAAACGTTTTAATGGTACCAAACCTTTACCCTTATCTGAAGCAATAATGTAACATCACAACATAGAAAGACACACTATAACATATCAATTGAATTGGCTAAACTCAATCAAAAGACATATTAATACCAGTGAACATATACTGAACAAATAAATTTGATCTATGATACAATGTCAATACAAAATAAAAAATAAGTAAACTAAGGGAAGAATAATTAAAGTAACATGTTATGCCGCTGTGAAATGTTAAACAATTTAAGAAAAACAAGATGCTTGAACAAAAATATCAGCCATTTGCAATTACTTTAAACACAGGTAAATGAAAATAATTTTGTTGTTAGGTATACATGTGCAGTTCAAATGGAGAAAGGAAATATTTTTACAAAATAAATAATTTTTATGTTTATAGTACGAAGAAGTGAAAATTTAAAGTAATACCAAACACTTATCAAAGCTGGTATATAGACCAGATTTAACCCTGAATAAGTAAACATTAAATAACAAAAAAAGGTTTATTTACAACCACTGGGTCGATGCCACTGCTGGTGGAGTTATTATTCAGCGAGGGTATCACCAGTCCAGTAGTCAGCACTTCTGTGTTGACATGAATTATCATTGATATGGTCATAATTATAAATGAACTGTTTGCAAAACTTTGAATTTTTGAAATACTAAGGCTTTTCTACTTTAGGAATAGAATACCTTAGCTGTATTTGGCAAAACTTTTCGGAAATTTTGGTCCTCAATGCTCTTCAACTTCGTACTTTATTTGGCCTTTTTTAACTTTTTTTGATTCGAGCGTCACTGATGAGTCTTTTGTAGACGAAACGCGCGTCTGATGCAAATACAAAAGTTCAATCCTGGTATCTATGGTGAGTTTATTTACAAACACTGGGTCGATGCATTGCTGGTGGAGTTTTTATTCCCCGAGGGTATCACCAGCACAGTAGTCAGCACTTCTGTGTTGACATGAATTATCATTGATATGGTCATAATTATAATGAACTGTTTACAAAACTTTGAATTTTTGAAATACTAAGGCTTTTCTACTGTAGGAATAGAATACCTTAGCTGTATTTGGCAAAACTTTTGGGAAATTGTGGTCCTCAATGCTCTTCAACTTCGTACTTTATTTGGCCTTTTTTAACTTTTTTTGATTCGAGCGTCACTGATGAGTCTTTTGTAGACGAAACGCGCGTCTGATGCAAATACAAAAGTTCAATCCTGGTATCTATGGTGAGTTTATTTACAAACACTGGGTCGATGCATTGCTGGTGGAGTTTTTATTCCCCGAGGGTATCACCAGCACAGTAGTCAGCACTTCTGTGTTGACATGAATTATCATTGATATGGTCATAATTATAAATGAACTGTTTACAAAACTTTGAATTTTTGAAATACTAAGGCTTTTCTACTGTAGGAATAGAATACCTTAGCTGTATTTGGCAAAACTTTTCGGAAATTTTGGTCCTCAATGCTCTTCAACTTCGTACTTTATTTGGCCTTTTTTAACTTTTTTTGATTCGAGCGTCACTGATGAGTCTTTTGTAGACGAAACGCGCGTCTGATGCAAATACAAAAGTTCAATCCTGGTATCTATGGTGAGTTTATTTACAAACACTGGATCGATGCATTGCTGGTGGAGTTTTTATTCCCCGAGGGTATCACCAGCACAGTAGTCAGCACTTCTGTGTTGACATGAATTATCATTGATATGGTCATGATTACAAATTAACTGTTTACAAAACTTTAAATTTTTGAAATACTAAGGCTTTTCTACTTCAGGAATAGATTAGCTTGGCTGTATTTGGCAAAAAATTTTGGAATTTTTGGTTCTCAATGCTCTTCAACTTGTACTTTATTTGGCCTTTTTAACTTTTTTTGATTCGAGCGTCACTAATGAGTCTTTTGTAGACGAAATGCGCGTCTGGCACAAATACAAAATTTCCGTCCTGGTATCTATGATGAGTTTATTTACAATCACTGGGTCGATCCCACTGCTGGTGGAGTTTTTATTCCCCAAGGGTATCACCAGCCCAGTAGTCAGCACATCTGTGTTGACATGAATTATCATTGATATGGTCATAATTATAAATTAACTCTTTACAAAACTTTGAATTTTTGAAATACTAAGGCTTTTCTACCCCATGAATAGATTACCTAACCTGTATTTGGCAAACCTGTTAGGAATTTTTGGTCCTCAATGCTCTTCAACTTCGTACTGTATTTGGTCTTTTTAACTTTATTTGATTCGAGCGTCACTGATGAGTCTTTTGTAGACGAAAAGCGCGTCTGGCGCAAATACAAAATTTCAATCCTGCTATCTATGATGAGTTTATTTACATTACTATTACCTGTAATGCCAATGTTCTGGCATTACAAATCACATGCATTACTTAGGTAAAGGTAATGCATTACAAGACATTACAATTACAAATTAGAATTTTTCCGAGCCTGGAAAAATCAGAAATGTATTCATGAATATTCACATTATCAATGACATATATATATACCTCTGTGTTCCCGGGGTTGTATTCTCATTTCCTATAAAAAAAATATATATATAAAATGATTGTTTTGAAGATTTACAATGTAATTATGATTTGCATAGTTTTTTTGATAAACTACTCACATATGTCAAATCTACTTAACATGGTTACAAAACAGTTTTCAAGTTGTATTTAGCCAGAGTAATATCTAACTTTTCTTTGTGTGTCTTATGTCTTGATATGAATGGAAACAGTATATACATACAAATTACCGAACACTTAATTTTGAATTGATAAAATGTACACTCTCCTCAAGTATGATACCTTATGGTTTACAGCAGAGTCCTTATTATTAATCAAATTGTACCTAGCGTATCTCATAAATATGCCTTTTTAATCGAAAGCTATCATAAAATCTCTTCATACTTAGAATAATATCAATAGTTGAAGATTTTGATGTCAGTTCACATATACATTGAAATCAAATGTTATACTGAACACTTATTGCACCTTCCACTGGTCTATACCATTTGAATATAGCAAAATCTGTATACACTATTCCTAACCTTGTTTGTTTCGTTCTTGTCGTTTTTTCGTGACTATATAACAGACAAGAGATGCGGTCAGAGCACCAAACAGAAAACCTCCAGTGAAAAGACCAACTTGTGTCATTACTGGGGAAGCAATGTTTTCTTTATTTGCAGAAACTATATTGAATAGAATAAAAAGATATGACTTTTCTTAATTCAATTATAAAAGTGCAACAAAAATAAGATTTATAATTTCACATAACCAAGTCATAGGTATACAGTTGAATTCAAAAAGTACTGTTTAAGTAGCTGTTAAATTTTATTCTAGCTATAGATAATTAAGCATTCTGTCTGAAAAGGTCTTAGATATTATGTTAAAACAAATCTTAAAAATAATGTATTTGCATAAGCAAAAAAATATATTTTGTCAAACAGCGAAAAATAAAAAAAAAAAAAAAACATCAACCACTTATGATATGACCTTGAAAATAACAAGAATTATAAAATTATATTAAACACAAATACTAAAAAGGGAGCATCGACATTATAAAAAGATGAAAAATCAAAGGAAAGATAAAGACTGACCTTGTGTACAATTAAATCCTTGTAATCCGTGCACGCATCCTCCAATGCATTCTCCTTTCCTGCGTTCACAAGGTTGATGTAAGCAAAGTGGTGAGCATACCTGTTGACAGTTTCTACCGTAAAATCCATCCGCACAAGCTGTAAAATAAGGTTTCAATAAAAAACAATGCATACACATATAAATCATCCTATATTGCATGTATGTCATTATCTATAAACATGTAAAGCAGAACTTCAATATATTTATTTATTTTTAACGTACTGAATTTATGAAGTCGGGTTAATAAAAAAAAACCCTTGCATAGTTTAATGCGTGTGAAGCGATTTCTGGGATCCTGATGCGCCTAAAAATAAGAACACATCTAACCTGAAAACCAAGTTAACAAACCACATCTGCTTTATGTTTTTTGTTTTGTTTTGTTTTGTTTTGTTTTTTTTTTGGGGGGGGGGGGGGGGGTCTTTGAGCGCATTTTTTTGCAAACTGAAATCCGAAAGACTTTGTAAAATGTAACACCAATAGATCAGGTCTGGTCAAATAGAACATACTGGAAAGTATTGCATATTTAAAACAAAATAATTCATACGCATAGGTGTAAAGTTCGAATAATGAAGAATATATTTTGATAATTTAGATATCAAATGAATGTTACAAGACTGGTGATCCTTGCAGGACACCGTTTAAAATATTACAAACATGTATGAATTCATCTAAAGACGATGGCATATATTTACTTTTTTAAAGATATTGAGTACCTGATTTGGTATATCAAAAAGTCCGGTAACTACTATGGTCAGTGTAAATAACGATATATAGACCACATTCACCATAATTGATTGAAGTTGATTAACATAGTCAGAAATGAGGCCCAAAAATAGGCGTCTTAATAAGATTTAATACACACACTAGCTTAAAATTGCAAAAGTAGCACACATAAGAGAAGAAATCTCAAGAATAAATACACCATAACTTTAAAAATACAAATGATCATACATCTCACACACGGGGGAAAACTTTCTACTACCTTCACACACCACGAGAATTCTAACTCCGTTAGTTTAATAGAAAAAAAAACGATATAAGGTATCCATCCATGATAGACAATCAGTAAATGAACAACAAAGACATGCTTAAAGCAGAACAGCGCTTTATTTGCTGTTCTTCGTCTTAAATATACAGTGAAGCTTTCGACAATGAACAAAAAAAAAAACGCTCACCTCACTGTAAGTTAAACCCGTATTATGCATTACAACCGAAGTCGAGTTGTCAGTCTATTGGTAATACGTGTTAGGTTTAAGTTTTCAAAAGTTATATCTGAGTTATGATTCGGCTGATCGAAGTTGTAAAAATCGTTTAATTAACTTAATGAATTTTTCCTTATAAATGTCTAGTTGTAATGTGCTTGGTTAACAGTTTTATCTTTGTCACATACTGATACATCTGTGAGCACAACTCTTAAACCATACTTCACCTACTTGTATCACAGTATTTCCCGTTTATATAACCAGGGTTACAAGCGGTTGTGATATTACATAATCCATTACTAGGATCACACATTCCAGACACACAACCCTTACATAACATGGAACAATTTTTCCCAAATTGACCAGTAGGGCATCCTGAAAAAAAGGTTGGAATGAAACATGTAAATCAGAACAGTATACGTGTATTGATATGATGAGTTAAGCCATTTTCAACTGATTTTTACAGTTTGTTCTTATGATGTGCTTTTTACTTTAACAACGCTATCACAGATTAAGGGAGGGTTGAGCGCTTACAAACATGTTGATTTTGTATTAACATTGTGTCAGAGATTAAATTTATTTGTTCAGTGTATGTTCAATTGTGTTTATATGTCTTTTGATTGAGTTAAGCCATTTCAATTGATATTTTATAGTGGTTTTATATGTTGTGATGTTACACTATTGTTTCAGGTAAGGGTGAAGGTTATTACCTATTAAAACGTTTAAACCCGCTGCATTTGTTTGCACCTGTCCTTAGTCAGTAACCTGATTTGCAGTAGTTGTCGTTTGTTGAGGGTTCCTTAGTGTTTCTCGTTTCTCGTTTTTTTATATAGATTAGACCGTTGGTTTTCCTGTTTGAATGGTTTAACACTAGTCATTTTCAGTGCCTTCATAGCTTGCTTTTCGAAGTGAGCCAGGACTCCGTGTTGAAGACCGCACTTTGACCTATAATGGTTTACTTTTACAAATTGTGACTTGGATGCGGAGAGTTGTCTCATTGGCACTCATACTACATCTTCTTATATCTATTATACCCCGTCACATTCTGTATGTGCCTGTCCCAAGTAAGGAGCATGTTTTTTCAATGGTTGAAGTTGGTTCATGTCTGTCATATTTGTTTTTCGTGAATTGTTTTGATATAGATAAGGATCTTTTTCTCAATTTAATTGATTCAAATTTTTCATTTTAGGGTCTTTCAAACCCTTATACGATATTGGTTTTTCTTATTGTTAAAGACCGTTCGGTTGTCTATGATTGCTAACATTCACTTCATTTGAATTTTGGTGAACTGTTATCTGATTGGTAAGCTTACCACATTTACGTAGTTTCATATAGATGTATTATTATAAAAACATTCGATCAAATAAGATTTCGACTTTTTATGTTGGCATTTCAATGTACAGTTGTAATGATAAGTAAAATTAAAAAAAAACAACAAATTTAAAGATGACGATAAAATTCCTTAAATAGAATTCTGAAAAAACAGATAAAACCTAGCTCAAAAGAAAACAAAACAAAACAAATGAATAGTACCTATAACCTTACATAAAAACAATGAGACTGAGCTACACGAACATAAAACAACTTAAATGATCGAAGGTGGTCCGGATGAGTAGACAAAATTTATTTATTTTTTATCTTCCACAATTTTCTGATATGACAGAAGCTTGGATTTCCCATCATAATTTTATTAAAAGAGAAATGCAGCTTAGAAGGAATATATTGCACCAAGAGTTTTAAGTAGTAAGGTTGAAATCTTCCCGTCGAAAATTGTGTTAGTTAAACGTTAAGAAATATCTGTTTCATATATGTCGACATATATGATCCACTTGTCGGTTCCACAATCCCATCCTCTTTTTCTCGACACTGACTACCGAATTCAACTTATCAACGGGTTTGTACTTAAATTATTAACACCACTGGTGCTAAATGTGGAGCTAGATTTGCACTTTTTGCTTTTCGCAAAGCCATTGTCAGTTGGTTTTCAATTAATGTGTTTGAATACTACTTTGTAACCCTTTGCCTCTTTTTTGAAACAACACCAGTGTGAATTACTTGTGCAAGTTCAAAAAACTTATATGTCATTTGAAAAACATGTATTCAACCATTGTGCGAAAAAGTGAGAAAGTGAAAATTTTCACGTTTACAGTGATTTTATTCAACGCTAATGACAAGTTTTTCTTTGTGAGTTTGAGTTAATGAAGTGTTTATCTATTTATCTCAAAGAATCATTGTTTGTTATATAATGAAAAAAGAAGCACAACTAACTTTGTGAGCAATCGAACCCCTGCCATCCGTCATTACATCCTTCAAAGCATTCTCCAGTCACTCCATAGCATTGTTGATTTAAACAATTTGTTGAACATGTCGCAAGACAGTCTTTGCCGTATGTACCAGCTTTGCATGCTGAAAAAACATTATAAGTGTATAGTTACTGATTAATACACACGGTGCATTTATCAAGAAATGAATATCGTTTCAAACTAAAAAGTGTATGAACAGCTGTCGACAACCTTCCTCATTCTTTTCCTGCATAACGTAAATTTGCAATTTGTACAGTATCATCATTTGAACAGCTAATGGTGTAGCATGTTAACATGAATTTGGTGTAAATACGGACATGGCATATAATTCAAAACAAAGTAACAACAATGATCTGCATTTCAACTTTAATCATCTGTGACATGAGGCCATTAAACTGTCATTTCAAAAATAAAGTCCTTATACCTTGTTCACACTTATCTCCACGCCATCCATTTAAACAACCAAATATACATTTTCCGGTGTCAAGGTCACATGGCCCATTACAGGTTTTTGAGCACGATTGATTACAGACAGGACCATAGTATGAAGGAGGGCAACCTGAAACAAGAATAAATAAAAAGGTTGTCGAAGTAATCACGATACTACATTTTAATTGAAGTACTTTATTTTTGTAACACCGTTTGTTCCCACAAACTGTTATAAACATTCTTTATATTTTGAAACTTAACTGATGGGGGTGAGTAATTAAAACAAAACATTAAAAAAGAGTGTTTGTATTTGTATTTATCTATATGGAATATAAAACTCTATCGAATGTGCTCCACTAAATGCATTTTCCAGTGTAAAAAGTTAAATCACAAAAATACAGAACTCCGAGAAAAATTCAAAACGGAAATTTCCTAATCAAATGGCAAAATCAAAAGCACAAACACATCAAACGAATGGACAACAACTGTCATATTCCTGACTTGGTACAGGCATTTCCTTGAAGATAACTATATACCTGATATTCATGTAAACAGCTTCTCTCATATTTTTTAACAATGCACATAAAATAAAAATACAAGCTGTTTGATTTTCAAATAAAAAGGGAGAAATACTATTCCACTGAAAAATGCAACTGTATAATAAACCATTGGTTAGTTGCGATTTTATCAGTAGGGAATTGCATCAATTGCAAATCAAACATTCGAGATCGACACAATATTATCATGATTATGTGTGTGTAATTTGATAAATAGCAAAGTATAACTTATAAATGGTCTATTGACCGTTTGTTATACAGTCCTTGGATGGTGTAAACTTCCCACTAACACCATACACCATTACACCATTCACCATACACCATTACATCATACACCCTGTGCCATTACACCATACACGTTACACCTTTGCACCATACACCTTACACATTACACCATAATGCAATTTAATTTCAAAGAAAACGTGCGACTACAAAATTATTTATTTATTTTAAAAACGAATTTTGATCACACTATTGTAACTTAATGTAAAAAATTACAAATCAGTTAAACATGTTAAATGTCGTACACCATTCATTCACTCCGATCGCACGTTACACCATTACACCATTCCCCTTACACCATACACCATAGGACCATACATCTTCTACCATTGCACCATATGCCATACACTATTACACCATACATGTTTTTTTTTGGGAAGTTTACACCATCGAAGGGCTGAAGTATACTGGAATATTGATTTAATAATCAAAATATGAAACACATTTGATGGTAAGCGAAACTAAATATTTCTACTTTGTTTTTTAATCTTACAGTCGTACAATACATATTTGTACCTGTTGAAGTGTGCAAAAACAATGCTTATAGTAATGAATTAAAAGAGAGGTGAACTATACCAAAGGGTCATTAAAATGCAGATTATTGAATAGTACTACCTGCATACGCATTTAAGGACAACTCGTTAGCTGATATTTAATTAATGCATCCTTCTAGGGAAAGTGCTTTCACTTGTAATGCAACCGAGGTTCACACTGTGGAGCAGGATCTTCTTATCCTTTCGGATCACCTGCGATCACTCCAGATAATGGTGGGGTTCGTGTTGCGCAGTCTTATGTTTTATATGTTGTGTTTTGGTAAACCGTTGATTGTCGTTGGTATTTTTCCTTCTTTTTTTTTGCTAAGCATTGTCGGATTATTTCTGGCTTTATTAGTTTGAATGTCCCTTTTGTATCTTTCGCCTCTATTTTACAATATCGGTATACATTATAATGCCTTATTTCTATTAAAACACCAATAACAAAATAGCAGTTTATAATTGTGTCTTAATACTACGAATGCAAACTATACTTCATGCAGATCAATGCAATATCGAAACATATAATTTTCTCATTTTTTTAATTGAATACATGTGAACAGCTTACCAACAATTCCAATCTCGCATACTTCAAGTTCCGAAAAAAAACTTTCAACTGAAGACTCATAGGTCAAGTATCTGAAAACAGCATGCAAATTGATCTCAGATGGTAGAGAGGTTTCCTTATATAAAATGGTGCCAGATTTCCAAGAAGTGCTTGTATTTGAAGCATAAATAGTATGAATTCCCTCCCGTGTAGTACTTTCTGAAAAAAAAATAAAGGTTTCAACTTGGTAATAAAAATAGTTATTCGGGCATATTAATACAGCTGTATAATAAAATGGTTTTGTTATACTTTATGTGACTTGTGTACTTCTGATTTTATACGCATATGGAAACTATTACTGCTCGTATGGATTTTAGTTCTATTTTTGTTTTACCGTCCCATCTATAATATTTCAGTACTGTCTCAGAAAATATTTTTCAGTATTTTTCAGTATTATTTGTTTCAGACTGATTTGTCCTGACTAATTAATTCCCGTACACTATAATGTTTGCATAAATATTTAGAACGATTTTTCCAATTTGTGTATATTTCTTTGTTTAATTGGACGTTGTTTAACTTTAATTTGAATGCGTAAGGTGTACCGTTAGTGGACATTCCTGCATATGTAACAGTAACTAATATACCAAGAACAACAGCCAAATTGACTTATAACTGTTTGGATAGGATTGTGTGGTAGATTATGTAAAATTGTGCATAGTAAGGGGTTCGTTTTTTAATGGAGTGTTACGCTTTAAAGAGTAATCCTTAATAACAGCGCAATGAAGGAACATTTTCCACTGTAATAGAATAGAAATCAAGGAGTCGTTTCGAACGTAATTGATAGGAAATAAGGGTTACCTTGATTTTGTTTTTCCAAAAAAGGCAGCAGTATTTTCCGATGTCAAAATCTAATAATTCGATTTAGAAAACACAAATCAATATAACTAACGGAAACTGAAGGAATTGCATAAACTTCAAAAGGAGCGAAATCGGTATCGGGGAAAATATCAACATATAAAGCAGACTTTCTATTGTCGGTAATATTTTTTTATATTTAGTTCACTTTGATATATATGAGATGGAAAAACTCACTGAAACGTAGAATATTGAGTGACATATCATTTATATATTATCTGAAATTAAAATTTCGGATTTTTGCAAGACGCTTTTATCTTTTTTGTTTTAGGATGGTTCCCTATGTTCAAATTCTGTTTCATTTAAGTAAAATCAGAACAGCAATAATGCGTGTACATGTAGTACTCATTTGAATACCAACTCTGGTGAGACATATCAATCCACCAAACTAAAACAAAATATGTTGTCATTACAAAATTCAAGTATTTGAAATTATTATCTTCGGTGTATTTGTTTTATAAAGATCAGTGTGATTTTTTCACAGTTAAATGTGTTATGACCTAAAACAGATCATATCTATATACGTTTCCATTTTTGTTTAGAAAAGCTTTATTCAATGAGAGGATATATTCGGTCTTTCAATTAAACATTCCAAACAGTAGTGTAAAGCGTAGACAAATAAAGGATTTTTCATTACATGGAATGTTGTAAAGATTGCTTTTGAAGATTTTTGTCTGAATTGTAAGCAATTTGAATCTAATTGACAACAATGGTTGGACATACCTCAGTCATGACAATATGTCTGAAGGACATATATCACTGTAAAACGACTGATCTTAGGAATTTTGTTCGCAGTCCTGTTTGATGTTTACTAAAGAAGAAATGGACATTTCATCTTTCGTAATGTATGTAAGGTTTCAGTGGGATTCGAAGTTAGTGTTGAATTCCAAGATCTCTATTTAGATATTCCAAATAATCATTTTTGCATAAATCACAACAGTGTTTCGGGTATTGTTTGCTGGAACAACATTTTTGAAATTAATAGGGAATAAAGCATCAACAAATTTGGGAGCCTTGAAAGGGTCAGTAGCCTGTGTGCTCATTGCACATCTGAAAAAAAATTACATATTACCATAGGGAAAAAAATCAGATAAGTCAGCTCCCTTTAACTAAAATTTGGCTGAAAAATTTACTTAAACGGATAACATTTAATCTTTTTTTGTGATTTCTACGTTACAAACGTAAACATAATCAACATCTCTGAACGTAGTTGTCTTTTGTGTGTTTTTATCATCTACTATTAATCCGAATAATCCAATCGATATTTTCCGCTTATCTGCTATCATCAAATAAATACGTAATGATCTTGGTTATTGTCATCTAATAAAATTACTTCGGGATATTGTTTTAACCAATGAATAAGGGAATGTGTAAATACTGCATGAACAACAGATGATTTGCTTTACCGTAAGAAACATATATTTTGTTTGTATGTGGTATTGTATACCCAATATAGAAACATGTGTTAACTGACAACCCAAGATTCAAAATGTAAAAGTAATAAAAAAAGTCAAATGATATAGACATTTATTGTTTGTATGATTATTGACGTTAACCATTGATACAGCAACGATATAGTTGGAGAATATGATTATTCCGTGTGCTGTATTGCGTTTTATTCACGATTGTGACATTTGGACAGCGTTTGAATTTTCATAGCCGATGATGCATGCATAGTATGAGACGTTGGCTCCTTTTAAATACACGATCGCGCTCCTTTTGGAGGTCACGCAATGGCCACAGTTTCTGTTTGTTACCTTGATCCTATTAATTTCCTAATCGATTTTTTTAATTTTAACATCGGAACGAACTTTTGCCTTAATTTTGCAAGCAGGTAAATCTGATGCAGCTACTTTTAATTTGATTTTTTATTTCAAATGCAAACAGAAGTAATGGAATTATGCGATTTTTACTAACGAAAACGTTGCAATTTGAATAAATCATCTGATGTTTGTTGACCTTAGACACAACGAAAACCTGCTCTCAAAATAGAATTCTATGAATTAACAGCAACTTTGTTCATTTCCCTGTTTTACATACATTATTCAACAGAGCACTAATTTAGCAGGTTTAATTGAATAAGATTTGTTAAAAATTACAACAATTTGATGAATATCATTTGGCTTGTATAATCTAATTGCAAATTTAAGACTATCCCTTTAATTCTTTTTATTTTTTTTATTTTTACTTACTCTTCAATTTTTTTTTAATAATGTTTGGATTTTTAGAAAGTTTTACCTCGAACATCGCTGAATTTATCATCGAAATGGGCTTCTGGTGCAGTAATTTTGTATCGGTTATATGATTAAGTTGTTATCATGAAAGTAATAAACGGTTTACATCCACGTTTGATTTTGAGATTTAATTATATACAGTTAAGATACATACCACCAAAGGTTATATGCACTCCAGTTACAATGCTTTCTTTCTGAAGGTCAACTTGAAATATCACGGTTATTCCCTTTGTTTTAGAACATGATATTTTATATCCATCATTTGCCAGATTTGCCGGTTGACTACCACTTGGAGTCTGCGAGACTAAACCTTCAGAGGCAATGTTATCTGAAACAAGATGTATCTGGGAGTATTTTTATTTTGGATATATTGAAGACCAAGTTAAAACACTGGCTTATATTTATTCGTCATATTCAATCTGACGATATCTTTATGCAGGTTTAGATTTTTAAAATAGTCAAGATAGAACTTTTGGCTGCTTGATGCATTCAAGTAAGCTCAAGAAGGTACAAAAAATATTGATAATATGTAAACAAACTTTTTTTTTCATTTACGGTTATTGCACTAGAAAACATACTGCTGTTCCCAAAATTGTATGCGGGGAAACAGCATATATATGTATCTTTTTCAGTCAGTCGTTCCATGCAATCCTCATTCAAAACTTTAAAAAACACATTGTTTGTTATGCGTTTTTATAGTAGGCCAACAAAGGGAAGATTTTTCTATGAACTTTTAATTATCAGTTACAATTGTTGTGAGAGGAAATGTTATGCTATTTCAAGGTTATTTTATGCACAATTACTTACACTTGCTACAATAGTTTCCTGTTCGTCTTTCCTTACAACCATCAGTGCAAACTGCAGTTTGTTTATCGCAAATATCATTTAAACAATGTTTAGTGTTACAACCAATAACACAAGAACCATTTCTAGGCTGGCAATGTCGCCCTACGCAATTTTCGGAACAACCTTTATCACATTTATTACCCCAAAAGCTTTTTGGACAACCTGAAAATAAAAGGCTTCCTTTAACAAAAAAATTTGACAACGAGAGCGTTGACCATATAATACGTTTTCCTTTTATCTAAATGATTTAAAACAAGGGTTATGTTGTTTATTATAAAGAAAATGACAAAAATCACAGGGTGATCTCAGATGCTTTGAAGGGAATTTAATTACTGTTCTACATGGGTTACACGTCGTGTTGCTGATATAAAAGATATAAGAAGATGTGATATGAGTGTCAATTAGACAACTCTCCATCCAAGTTACAATTTGTAAAAGTAAACCATTATATGTCAAAGTACGGCCTTCAACAAGGAGCCTTGACTCACACCAAACAGCAAGCTATAAAGGGTCCCAAAATGGCTAGAGTAAAATCATTCAAACAGGAAAACCAACGGTTTAGTCTATATAAATAACGAGAAACGAGAAACAATTATGAACCACATCAACAAACGACAGCCACTGAACATCAGGTTTCTGACTTAGGACAGGTGCAAACAAATGCAGTGGGTTTGAACGTTTTATCTGGCACAAACTTTCACTCTAACCGGTACCTGAGACAGTGGTGTAACAATACGACATAAAAGGACACACTATAATACATGAATAGAAAGAAGGCTCAACTCATCAAAGTATGAATACTAACAGATTTTAGACAAAAGTTCGACCATGAAAACCAAATTACCAAATAGTTAAATTATAAACCACAGAAAAATATATCAAAGCCAAAACCAGTATGACATAATTTTGCCAAACAACCGGTCACTGATGAACCACTCAAAAAGAGCTTGTTGAGAAAGATCTTTAACGTGCAAAGAGCGTGGTACTCCCTGAACACGGGAAGTACGAATTTAGTCTTCAAGTCTAAAAGAATTATGTCACATTCGAGGTACAAATGACAGTAGTGTGGTTACAACGTTTGGAACATATTCATCATCAGCTGTGAGACAGACATTCCATAACGGTCAAACAAATCGTGACGGAGAGATTACTTCCCCTTCATTGTACTTGGATCACTTGGTGTATTACGTTTCAGTAAGCAGTAACCACTGGCTATTATCAACGAAATCGTGATACGAAATTTGGACAAGCTTTTTTATCTGTGGACACCACTATTAACTTAGAGTTCATCATACAAATATGTTGGCTAAGACCCGTAACCTCTGCATTTATCTGCCAATTACGATCAAACTTTTGGTACAGACTTGAAGCAGACAGCAATTCAATTTCTACTAAACATAAATAAGTTTATTTTTCAATTTAAACAACTTTTGTATTATAAAATTCGTGAATTTCGAATAAATATAATTATATCAGCAATAGGAAACAGTAGAAACAATACTATTCCTCGAGATGGTATCTTCTGTTATTACTGCTACTAAATAGAAGATTCGGTTTCTTGTTATTAGTTGAAATTAAGTAATTAAAAAAATTTGATGTTTTTGAAGCAATTTCCAAGTTGATGTCCATTATACAAACCAATGTTTTTGAACATAATGCAAGATATATTTTCTATATGCTCCGTGTAATCTGCATAATGGGATTACTAGAAAGATATCGCTATCTTCGTCATATTGTATTCGTTTGTGGTTGTTTTTGGTTTTCGTCCTTTGTTAATTAGCCGTGATCGTTTTTTCCAGTTTTAATAAACTTTAAAAAAAAACATCAAGTTATGAATTATAATATTTAATATCGTGGTCAAAATAGTTTATTTAATGTATTGTTTTGTTGAGCGTTTTTATATTAGATAAAACCTAAGCAACAAACCAATCTAAAGATTAATCCATTGGCACATTTATATTGAAGCTTGGATAATGAAAATAAAAGCACCTTACACAATGGCGCTTAACCCACCATTAATGGCAACATAACACAGTTCAACTACAGGTCCATCGTAGCGAGTTTCATTCTCTTGGGATCCTTTATTATCGAAATAAATGACATACTGCCCAAGTTGATTACAAGGAATAGTTTGTGTGATGTTCGGCAGACCAGGATCAGGATCCTCATAGCAAAGATAACCAGCAGGTGGAATGGTTGATGTATTGGTCACATATAACTTAAATCCATCCATGCGACGCGCAACTGTAACACAAATTACACCAATATTAGTTTAAATCGTAGCCGATGACTGAAAGGCCATACTCTTATTTGAGGAACAGTTGTGCATAGTATTCAAAATTGGAATTAAATTAAAGACTATATATTCATTTTCTTACATTTAAATATAGCAACATGCTATAAATAATATAACTTTAAAGGAAAAGTGCTGTATTGGTCACATTTCGCTTACCTAGTGCATTTTTATAAATCCTGTGTTTTGTGACAATCTATTTGCATTTTAAGTAGACAAACAGCTATTTTATATAATGGTGTGTATCTTTACCTGAATATCTCTTTAGAAATTAGAAAAAGACGGGGATAATATCATTAACAGGGTGAGTAGATAATTCACAAACATAACTGGGTTTCAAAATTGAGGAAAGAGAGAATTTCTATATAGTGGCTCATCCATCTTGACCCACGTATGGAAACATTAATAAATGAAAATAACTCCTTATAAATTGTACTCGTTCGATACGCTGTTCTACAAGTCTAGCCTTTTGAACAATATGTAATAAACTTATAAAAAGAAAAGTCGGGGTTAGTGGGCAAATTTTTTATTAGAACTTCTTGGAAAAACAAGAGGATTCCGAATATCAGACAAAAAGTAAAAAAAACAAGAATAGCGAACTTTCTTGATTTAATAAAAAATCTTTATTTATGAACGAAGAATTTACTTAAGGAAGGTTAGGAATAAGGTGAGTACCAAAGCACTGACAACCGATCTGCAGATACAATTGTAAACGTTTACTATACCTGTTACGGTTTCAACCCAGTGCTATAAAATAAATCTTATGATCACAGATAAAACACCGGATGGATTAGCCAATTATGAAGTAGTCTATTGCACGTACCACGTTTTTTTTTCGTCGGAGAAATTCATGCAATTTATATTTAAAAAAAAATAGTTAACTGCCAAAAAACAAATAATGCATTGGTCTCTTGTACTTTTTAGACGTAAAATCCATATCATTGATTTAAAAGCAATATCAACCCTTTTTTCTGGGTGAAGAAAATTGTGCTTAGTTGGCCTTTTGCTTAAACAAACATGTTGAATTTACACCTTACGTTACTGACCGAACATCATGCAAAATTAAGAGCTGTCATCATGTGCTGTTCCTACAATTAGGATACAATTCAGTATAAAGAAAGAGTATGAGAAAAAAAAAGAGAAAAGAGATAAACCACAATAAGTGTGTTTAATAAATTTTGATTGGGGCACACTCCTAATAAGAAACGGAAATGCATTTTCAATATTGTGTTATGTATGATGGTAACAAGACTTCTGAAGAACTCAAAAATATGGACCAAACAGACCATTCTCTATAACACTTTTTTTTAATCAAGTTTCAATCTAAAATATGAGGGGTTTTACACTATAACAATTTCTTTTTCGGCCACTTTCTATTACAGAAAAAAAAATTATATTTCGCAATTTAGTCATGTATATCGAAACATATACGTTTTCTAAAGCTAGTCGTACTCATTGCTTAAACGTTTAGTTTGGGTTTTTATTTTAGGTTTGTGTTGCTTAGTCCTTAAATTTCTATGCAGTGTGTGTATACTACTGTTCGTCTTTTTTATTCTTTTTCTGCGATCGAATTGTCTCTTCAACATATCATTTCGATCGTCCCTTCGCCTCTATAAGAAACGTTAATTGTGGATTTGACATATTCGATGTTGTTCTAGAGATACTTCCACACATTCCATGTATATTGTATTCTATTACACCTTATTGTGCTCGACAACAATACATGCAAAAAGATTAAAATATCAAGTTGATATTCATACTTTTGTATGTCATGTTTGTCTTTGGTATACTTACAATTTTCCCGGTAGTAGATTGTTATATCTGTAATGTAAGCTGTTCCGAAAGATATTTGGAACATCCACCAAGCCGCTGTTTTCTCAAGATTCGTGTGGGAACAGTAATCATTGTCAAATGTATTTGATATAGGTGGGTTTATGGCATTTACAGGTCTTCCATAAAAGTATTGAGAACTCTGGCTAGCTTTGCCAAACGGTGTAAGGTTATCTACAAAAAAGATAGCAAATACAAATGAAAAAACATATCTGTCAATTATGCATGTTTCTCCAGGAGATTAAAAAGTTATTGATAAAAACACAAACATGTAAAAACACTTAATTTGTCATAAAATGCACATGTTGTTTGGAATTGGAGAACTCATAAGTGGTGCTCGAATCAAAACCAGGAAGTTCCAAAATAATGTTCTAAATGAGGCCGAGGCAACCTTTACCTAAGGTTTGAACAAGTCTGCACTTTATGAACAGTAAATTCACAGATAAATCGACGACAACGTATATGTATCAACGATATGATATGATACTGTGCCGGTCATATCCCCGCGTACGAATCGTCACCCAGCATTGGCATCAACCCAAAGAACTGTTTTTCGAATAGTTTTTCATTCATCACGACAAGGTTATATGGTTGGTCATCATAAGTTTACAATTGTACGTTTGTGAATTTAATCATTATTAAGTTACTAGGATTTCAACTCTCTTAGACAAAGTTGTTCTACGATAGATTTAGCTACTTTATTCTGTCAGTTTTGGTCTATGTATATGGCTTCGAACGCTCGAAATTTATAAATTGTTGTTTTATTTTTTTACAAAACAAAAACCAGATCAGATTAAAAAATCACATTCCTTTGGTTAATGACAATTCCAAGAACGAGATTGTTGAGAAAAATTATAACGAAGCTTTTGACAAGATAAAAAAGCTTATCAAGATAAAATGTGTGGGTAGTAATGAAAACGGTAAGAAACTTTTAAGCAAAACGAGGTCAATCAGGAGACCTGTGACAAAAATGACAAAAAAAATCAACAGAACTCAAAATAATGTACTATTTCATCGTCATCCCAAATCTAATAGAAAAATACATCGAAAGCCGAACATATTGATCAATGTATGTCTCATTTTGCAGATTTTGTCATAACAGCAGTTCATTCTAAACATTCCTAAAAGGTTGAACTGGGTAAAACTCCACGAATGAATGCTCTGTTTAAAGCACAGGGAATCACAAAAACATGCAAGCTATTTTTAGATGTGGTTCAATAAAGCATTGAAATCATGCATGTCATGATTCACTTGATTTGGTCGTAATTTAGATACAATAAGGTACATCCATGCTATTACATAGGGCTAGAAAAATATATATTTTCTCCTTTCTTTATATCAAACATATTTAAAAAGTAAGTTTTGTTTAATATTTGTCATGATGTAGGTATCAAGAACTACGATGTAGGAAAGTGCAAACTAGACGAGTTTGTCAAAATTCTGAACAATTATGTTACAACAGGTGCGAACCAAACTTAGTATGCAAAAATGATTTAAGTATAAATAATAGTCTTTAAATCTGCACATAAGCCTTTTACTCATAGTGACTTTCAAATGGTGTAAACCAGTAAGATCTGTTACAAAATTATATTTCAAAATTAATGATCTATCTCTTTGAAGAAAAATTCATTTCTAATATCAAGTTTGATCTAGGGTTTCTATAAAATCGCTAGAAATATTTTCAGTGATTTTATAAAATTCCTAACAATTTCACTGATTTTACAAAATCTTTGAAACTGTTAGGTATTTTACAAAATCATTATTATTTCACAGATTTTACAAAATACCAGAATTTACAAATTCACTGAAATATATATATATATATATATATATATATATATATAATGATGCAAACTTAAGAATTCTATGATTTTTTTTTAAATCTAAAGGTTATTATGACTTTATATTAGAAATAATTCACTAGGCTATGAAACACTCTGTTCTGTGACACATTTTCTGTGTACTCGTTTTGCAATAATGAATGAATGCTGGACCAAACATTTCGGTAATTTTGGTTAGCAATTTGAATTATCGGACGAACAACTTTACATAAAATACCCCAATGATGATTGTGGCAAAGTTTTGTAAAATGTCGACCAGTAGTTTCATAGGAAATGTTTGTTGACATTAACGGACTACGACAGATGACGACGGACATCGGATGTCAAGTGATGAGAATATAAAATAGAGAATGGAAATGGAGAATGCGTCAAAGAGACAACAACCCGACCAACGAGCAGAAAACAGACGCAGGCCACCAATGGGTCTTCAACACATTGAGAGAATCCCGCACCCGGAGGCGAGCTTCAGCTAGCTTACTTGGCACTTCGGGCAATGGGAGTTAAAATCATCTTGCAAAGTTCTTTAATATCACATTCAGATATACTGATAATATCCTCATTATCCACATTATAATAATACAAGCCTTTCGTTTGTAAATATCAAAATCAGGATAATATTACGTTATATTGAGAAATTAAGATTATCACTCATTCGGTCAAAGTAGATTACAGCACTGACCGTTCACTTGACATCTTTTTTAGTTTTTATACACTGAAAGGTTTTTATAAATGGTTTTCAAAACTTTTGATCTCAAACAGAAACATGCATTGAGTTCGAAGAAATCATGTCATAAGTGTAATCCTTTTTATGCTCGGAGTTACAACAGGTGTGTTCATTCTTTTAAATATTTTCTTTTAAGTAACTTGTTATGCATATACAAGTAAATGTTTCGGTTAAATGCTTTCCCAATTGTTAAAGATTCAGCATGATTTACAGCATGACTTGTTATTCAGACACCTGTCTATTGCATCAGAAATCGGTTGACTAATATAAAATAACTGTGTCACTGGCGACACGTTTTGTGGTTTTAGATCTTTAGATATCAGAATATAGAAGTCTAATCTGACTTTTTTCAGTGTGAACTCGCATGGCGGGTGATGCGTGTATTCATAGAAGGAGCCACTTACCCTATCAATGCCCTATGTAAATCTCATTATGGAGTTTATGCATTTCCCTCTTTTTTGTTACCTTGATTTTATAGGTTCTAAATTAGTTAATGAGAATTGAACATCTATAAACTACTGTTGCCTAAATTCAGAATCTGAAAATAAGCATACATTGAACAGAACTCAACCAGAAAGTATGTGTGTTTAGTCTTGTTAGTGAAGAAACTTTTTTATTTTAAAATATTAACATTATTAGCTTACGTTGTGCTGAAACACTCAACAGAACAGTGGCAATTGATATCAGTAATAACATTTCAGCCGTATTTACAATGAACATCAAACAGGTACAGTCAGCACTTGTGCTTTGCTAAAGTGTATGGTAAACGGAAATTATATGGATTACAATAGTTTCATCAAATTAAAACGTAATGTCAAGAGTCAACAAGGTACTAGTTTTAGATGCATGAATTTTTATTAATAGATGTTATTTGCTTTGAAAGAGTTGTCAGTAACTGCGAGTACTATCAGATCTGTACTTAGTGTCTTTTTGTTATGGGGATGTATTAGTACCCGTCTACGTCCCCATTGTTTTTTTGTTCTATTTGTATCCATCTGATGAGTTAAGCCTTTTTCAACTGATTTTCATAGGTTGTTTTTATGTTGTACTGTTACTCCACTGTCCCAGGTTAGGGGCGCGTTAGCGCCTTCAGATGAGTTTAACCCCGCCAGATTCTGTGTGTTGCCTGTTCCAAGTCAGGAGCCGTTCATGTTTATGACTATGCGGTATAGGCTTTGCTCATTGTTGAAGGTCGTACGGTGACGTATAGTTGTTAATTTCTGTATCATTTGGTCTCTGGTGGAGAGTTGTCTCATTGGCAATCATACCACATCTTTTTTTATATATGATATAAATATTATTAATCTTTTCTATGTGATTAAGTTATAATCTAAACGCAGCATGCTGCATCTGGAAGGTATTGATTTACAGGTAAATTATTAAACATTACAATCGGGAAGGGAAAATGACTCTCATCATGTCTATAGTGATTGAAATCAGAGGAGGTAACTGCGGGCGACATTTTGTCTGCATGTAACGAGTTTTGTGGTATAAACTGTTTCAAAATTAACATTAAGGTATTTCTTGATTATTTTCTTTTTAAATTTGCACATGAATTTCATATATATTTAAAAAAAAGGCGCACAATTAAATTAATATCTAACACTGAATAAAATAGAACACACAGAAAACAAATATTGAACCTTTTAACAATATATTTTAAAAAAAAGTTTGACAATGTTCTCTTCTTTTTTTTTGTTGTTGCAAATACCCTGTCCAATTTCGCAACAATTCAAAAAAACTAACCTTTCTTATAAATGACCATCTGCTATAGAAATATCGGTTTGATATTCTGACCCGAAAAAGAAAAAAAAAGGATTGGAAAATTGACATATAAGCAAATGAATGCCCAAACTCATCAATTAAAAGCAAAAGACAAAGAAGTATACAGAACAGATCATTGGAAATCAAAGACAGAGCAACACGAACCCAGCCAAAAACCGGTGTTATCTTGTGTCTTCCGCAAGGGTGTTCAGACCCTGCTCCACATCCGGAGCCTATCGTGTTGCTCATGTAAGTACAAACCCGATGAAAAGTCTAATTCGATGGCTTACATTCAAGGAAAAGAAGAAAGGATTGTGGTTACGACAATTGGACCATACCCGTCGTCATTGTGAAAGAGATATTCCATAGCGGCGACACTTGGTGGCGTTCGTCAAATTTTCGATGGGACAATTTCGTTTTCACCACTTGAAACTTTTGTTTTTTATAACTTCCTAATAAGCATCAACTATCTATCAGGATTATTATGATAGGAAATGCAAGCTCTGGGAGATCGTATCAACTGGGAGATATATACTCCATATTCAGGCGGTCCTTGAATGTTGCTACATAGAATTTAGCAATAACAACAATGAACTCATCTCTTTTGTCGTAAAGTTTTATTCTCAAAAGTAAAATCACAAAAATACTGAACTCCGAGGAAAATTCAAAACAGAAAGTCCCTAATCAAATGGCAAAATCAAAAGCTCAAACAAATCAAACGAATGGATAACAACTGTCATATTCCTGACTTGGTACAGGTATTTTCTTATGTAGAAAAATGGTGGATTGAACCTGGATTTATAGCTAGCTAAACCTCTCACTTATATGACAGTTGTATCAAATTTCATTATATTGACAACCGAGTCTAATTCGTCTCACATTGTCAGCATACAGATGTAAGTAACAAATTAAGAAACCAACAAAATTAGGTTCGTAAATTAAATTATGGATAAAAAAGCATTAAACCACCAGGAAACAAAGCAGATGGACGAGATATTGTGTTTAAAAATAATTACATTTTGTTCAAAGTGAAGTCTTTGTCTCTTTTCTGGAAGCTAAACAGTTTCAGATGTTCACTGGCTCTCGTATTTTGTTTACTTAAATGGGGAATCTTCAATTGTAATTACATAGATTGTATAAACAGGATTTGTGTAGTGATCTAATAGAGAAATCCTTTGAAAGCAGAGAAATGTTTTTAAAAATGATTGAAAATAGTCAACTTATGATTAAACTTTGAAACGACTAAACCTTCACCGTACCTAAATTAAAAACAGCGATTAAAAGAAAATTGTATGTAGAATGTTTACATTGATATACATTTTAAAAAATTTTACTGACTCTCACAACATTTTACTTTTAATTGGGTAACCTTCAATTAAATGACAACGGTTGTATTGGAGAAAACCAAAAAGAATAATCTTTCAATTATTTGAATGCAATTTTGACGCGAATTAACTTCATCCATATCTCAAACTAAAAACACTAATCGAAAAAAAGAGAACTGTGTGCAAAATAAAAATAGATATATACATTTTAATGAATAAAGGACTTAATAAATCATATTAATAAAAATCAACTCTCGTTGAGATTTTATACAAGATCTATAGAGTGAACAGTAAAACATGAATGCCGATAAAGTCATTGTCATGGCCGATACAGTTGAGTATGACAGTTTATGTAAAACAAAGCATCAGTTGTTTGATCCGTTATGCTTTAAATGTAATGGACGTAAAAGTTATATAAGAGTGAACGTTGCTAATTCTTGCAACTATGAAAATTGAATGTTTAGGCCCTCTTAACCATGTTAACTTTGTAAACTGTAAGAGTTACTTCAATTTAACTGAAACGTATTCAAATATATATGTAGGACTGTAAACCGCGATGGTACTCCGAACCACGATGGTCATGCTGAGATGCAATGGTTTAACGCTGAAGTGCGTTATTGATCACGCCGAAGTGTGATGGTGGGATTATGACGCTATCTTGTTTATAGCTACGCCGAAGTGCGATGGTAGTTACGCTGAAGTGCGATGGACTACATAAATCAATGTTCAATGTTTTCTTCATGTTCACTTGTCAATATAGAAGTCAATTTGTTTGTTGGAATAGCTTTTTAGTTTTTTTTTCGAGAGTTTAACCTGTTTAATTTTTAAAAAAAGTCATGGTTCGGGGGCCCATTATAGCCGAATATACGCCGGTATGAATTTTTCTCATTGTCAAAGGCCGTATGGATGACTATAATTGTATACATCCACTTCACTTGAACTTTGGTGGGAAGTTGTCTAATTAGCAATAATACCACATCTCCTTATTTTTATATGATAAATCGTCATTATATTTCCAGTCCTAAATGTAATGTTGTAGTGTATTTTGTAAATAGCTTCAACCAAAAAAACAATAGTTCATACAATCGTTCGGATATTGACAACTTTAGACGCAACATAAAAGGTAATTTTCCTTTAAAACCAAACTTATTTCAATGACTGGAAAACGTGGTAGTTGTATGAAATTCAAATACTACTTACTTAGTAAAAACTGAACAAAATGTATACGGCTTATGTGATGGGAACAGGGAGTAAGCAAATGGAGAAAATATTGAATGTTCGGTATATATATTATACTAACTAATAAAATATTCAAACTCTCTTAATAATCAAACATCTGTAGATTTTAAACTAGCCATCAGTAATCACGCGTCTTATAAACCATCGCACATCAGCGAAAGGACCATCGAACTTCAGCGTAAACCATCGCACTTCAGCGTGACTATCGCACTTCAACGTCCCCATCGCACCTCCGAGTCCTACATATATTTCATTTAAAGTCAAAGGAAAACATGGTACTTGTCTTGGTGTAATATTGTATGATAGAATCTGGATTTTTTATTCAATATAAGGGCATTGGAAAGCATAATGCCATTGAACATTTTCTATACATTATCGATTAGTGATGTTTAATTATGGCAATCTCGGCTTTGGGGTGACATATTGTTATTCTACGTTTCGTTTTCTTTTTATTAAGTCATTCCGACCGAAGTTGGGGTGATGTATTGTTGTTCTTGTTTCTTTTTCATTTTATCATAATTATTTTTCTTCCACACTTTTTGGGATCTCGGAATTGAAAACACCCAAGTGGAAGGAACTATACAAAAATGTTAACCACCATGTATAGATTTGCAATTGGGGTTGGGATTTTTCAATATGGCTACAGTTGCCATGGAAAGAGCAAAAATGCCAAAAATTCTAAATGCTACAAAGTAAACGAAATTTCGCACAACTGTTTATTGGAGTATGCAGATGTTCAATTTGTCTTTGGAATTTTCAAAATGGCCGCCTTTACCATGGAAACGGTAAATGTGAATTTTTTTTAAAATCTCAAAACTTCCTGAAAATTTCCAGGCAGATGTGAAGTGATGTATTTATGGGCATTGACTGTTGAAATTTTTCAAAACGGCTGCAGTTTAGTGGCAATTTGGGAAGGGTGTCATCCGCTATTTTTCGCAATTGTAAATCTAGGTTCTTTTTGTTATTTGATTAGAAAGGCTTAAACTAACTCTGTTCTTCGTACTTAAAAAAAATCTATACTTAACGGATAAGACTTCATTTGCAAACGTCGTTGCGTACGTGAAGACACAACTTGGTGACAAAAAAAAAGAACATGCAGTACTTATTTTTCATATTATGAATAAAGACAGATGCTTGTATAACTCAAAATACATTATTAGATGTTTAATGTGTAATGATTGACATAGTAGTTTTAGACTCAAGATTTTTTATTAGTTGTTTTTGCTTTGAACAAGCTTCCAGTGAATGCGAGTACTATCAGATCTACACTTAGTGTCTTTTGACTTTTTTTAGGGTTTTTATGTGCCTTTTTATCTATCTGATGAGTTAAGCCCATTTCAACAGATTTCATAGTTTGTTCTTATGTTGTGTACTGCTACACCACTCTTCCAGGTTAAGGCGAGGGTTTGGTGCCAACAAACATTCTTAACTCCGCCATATTCTGCATGTGTCTGTCCCAAGTCAGGAGCCTGTAAGTCAGTGGTTGTCGTGTGCTGCTGTTTATCATATTTGTTTTACATTTGTCATTTTGGGGCCTTCTATAGCGTACTGTGCGATATGGATTTTACGCATTGTTTAAGGCCGTACGGTGACCTAAAATTGTTAACCTCTATGAAATTTCGTCTCTGGTGGAGAGTTGTCTCATTGACACTCATAACACCTCTTTTTTTTGTTCATAGAAATTATAGATAATGCATTTCTGAAGCATATACATATTCTATTTTTTGAGGTAATACTGTTCTGTTTAAATTGAGTGGAGCATGATACAAACGCACAATTTTCACTTGTACATGTTGTAATCGTTGAACAATTGCAATGGAATATTAAAAGCGACTATGGATATACTGTCGATTCAGAAATGTTTATGGATTCAACTACTAGATAGTACTCTGTTCAATATACACTAATTGGTCATGGAAATTTATGCGATGAAGATATTCTTGCTAAAATTGTGACGATTTCACAAAAAAACTAGGATTTTAGATTTTGATAACATTATTGTCCCGCAATTGTGTTATTGTGCTATGGTGATTTTTGTATTCTTGTCTTTTATTTTCTCATGTACTTCGTCTTTAGAGTGTCTTTATGCCATTGTTCTTTTTCTTTGTTGAAATGGTTATTTGTTTTATTGTGATTAAGATTATAACTAAATAATGACTGTTGAGTCCCAATTTTTGTTCGTATTATGTCTGTTTGTTTTGCTGTCAACATAATGGGATTCTATACGACTGTCATACAAGTAAAGGTTTAGCTAGCTATAAAACCAGGTTTAATCCACCATTTCCTACATAAGGAAATGCCTGTACCAAGTGAGGAATATGATTGTCGTTTTCCATTCGTTTGATGTGCTTGACCTTTTGATTTTGACATTTGATAAAGGACTTTCAATTTTGAATTTTCCTTGGAGTTCGGTAATTTGTTATTTTACTTTTTATTTGTATTATTTTTTTCTGAAATCGTTTTATATTGATTACTCTCAATATCATCCATCTTTCAATATTTATGAACTTGGCTATAATTCTGTCACTTGTGGCCATATAGCTTTTCGTGCGGTCAGGCCTTAAACATTCTAAACTTTAAATTTTGGTTGAAGTGTTCCTTGTGAAAGTAAATTCAAAAAAGCTTTTCGAAAGCACGAAGTTTTTTTTCAAATAATGTGAGCAATCTTGATTTTTGATGTGTAATTATGCTGATAACACCCTAATATTGACAATAAAATTATGGTAAACAATACTGAATATTACAGATATTGTCTCGTCTTTTTTATCATGATCTGTTTGAATGTATTTTCAATTAAAACATGGATATTAATAGACATTATAAAATTGATGGTGTAAAGGTGTTTAAGACTACAGAATCCTACGATTATATTTCCGAAAGTATAGAACAGACAATTTCAACAATTGTGGGGCCGTACGTAACTGTTTTAATTTAAACACATACCTACACAAAATATTTTTTACAGGCATGATGGATTAACATAGATATTATTAGTTTGAATATCTTCTCGATGCAACAAAAGAAGGAAAATTAAACGTACCTTGTAAACATGTTTCATGAACACATCCGTTTATTCAACATTAGAAGGAAGTACAGCTGTACGTTTTATGTGTAGTTTTAAACGGTTTAAGTGCAACGATGTATAACCTGAATTGAATCTAGTTAAGTATACATTACTAACAAATATAAATTTATTATAGCACCTTAAAAACTTCACCAAGTTGATGATAAGTGTAAAAGAGTACTGGGTTAGGACTAATATGACATTAAGATATAAGGTTAGAAATTTAAGTGTGAGTCTCCTGTACAGAACATATAAAGGAAACCCAGCGAAAACAAATATTTTAAAACCCATTGCTTTTATAATATTGCCTACCTGTCATCTAAATAAACTTTTACACTACAGTTATCGGTTTAGGTAAATCACCTACTTTTTTTTAGCAAAGTGATTTTATCAATAAATCTCTCAAGTGGAAATAACATGGGTATTGTATGTAATTACATTTAAGTTAAGATCCATATAATAATTAAATCGTAGCATGTTTTGAAAGAGGTTTTTGTTGTATGCATAAATATTGTATTGTATTTTTGTTAGATGTATTTCTATTTGTATCCATCTGATGAGTTAAGCCTTTTTCAACTGATTTTTATAATTTGTTCTTACGTTGTACTGTTCCACCACTGTCCCAGGTTAAGGGGAGGATTGGGCGCCCGCTACTATGTTTAACCCCGCCACATTCTGTATTTGTCTGTCCCAAGTCAGGAGCCTGTAATTCAGTGGTTGTCGTTTGATTCTGTGTATCATATTTGTTTTTCGTTCATTATTTTGTACATAAATTATGCCGTTAGTTGTCTCGTTTGAATTGGTTTACATTTGTTATTTCGAGGCCTTTTATAGCTGACTATGCGGTATGGGTTTTGCTCATTGTTGAAGGCCGTACGATGACCTATAGTTGTAAATTTTTGTGTCATTTGGTCTCTTATGGAGAGTTGTCTCGTTGGCAATTATACCACATCTTCTTATTTTTATATTATGAATATTTTGAAGCAAGGACAGATATACGTCAAACTATTGAATGGTGTTTGATGTTTCGTGAAGGATCGATCAACAAATTTCAACAATAATGGAAAAATACAGATTCACAATGCATATTGTCATACAAAATAGAAATCAGGTTGTTGGTTTTGTTCAACAATTTGCTATGTCGAAAAGGTTTTTCATAGTTGACTATACGATAAGAGATTTTAACATTGACGTACAGTGACGTACCGATATGGTTTCTAACATTTACGCCATATGACCTTTAATGATAGTTGCCTCATTGGCAATCATACCACCTTTTGTTATATATACTAGATGGGTATTTGTACCTTTTACAATGAACGAGTGATTTACACCCAATCTTTTTGACACTGCAGCTAGGACACGTCATGTTGTCTTTATCTACCAAATTTAGTAACAATGTGATATTTTGTGCAATGCCGATTTCATTCCAAGTTGCTTTTCTTCACAATTCATTTTATTTTCAACACGAGTTATGTGTCAATTGTTGATTAATTGACATATGTTGTATGTATCTTTTCATATTATTGATCCAGAATCCGTCGTGAAATCCTGATGTGTAGATACATTTGCATTTGATGTTGATACTTTTATGAAATCCTGAAATGTAGATATATTTTCAATTCTTTCATCGTCATAATATTAATGATCATGACTGTAAAATATAAATTAGATTATTAATATTAATTCTCTACACATTTTTTTTATAAAATACGGAATTACTATAACATGTATAAGTCGTTTTTATTTCATCTGAAAGGGTTGTGCGAAGTACTATGAATTAAAGTACATGTATTATACAGTAGGCTCAATATCATATATCTATTTAGAAAACATATGAAAATAAAAATAAAAAAACTGAGGGAATCACGTGAATTTCTTCGACTGGGTACGCGTCTCCTTCAAAGCACGTATCAATCTTTATGCGAATCCGCCATCAGTAAAAAAAGTCGCAATCGGCAATTAGAAACAATCGGTAGTTTTACTGATAACCGTGAGCAAGACAGATGTTTAGGAAACAAAATCGCTTATCGGAAACGATTGAGGCGAACAATTTCGGAAGCAAAATATGTCTTACGTTTCAAATTCTTCATCGGAAACCTAAAAAGGAAAGAAGTAAACCCCAAATGTTGCAGAAAACATTAAGGTTTCAAGGTGTGTAGAAAACTAAGTGAAAACAAATGCTAGTTTTTTAATAGAATATATGATGAATTGAGTAATTCTTTTACCCATTTGTATTTTCCGTGGCAAATGGGATATGAAAAATTAAAGCAGGGACCCCTATGTCAGCTACCCTGGACTGCTAAGGGTTCATGTATTCCATGTAATTTTAAATAAAACATATTATTATACCTTACATATATTTCAAACAATTCTATTGGGTAAAACGTTATCACGTGACATGGAATAATTCAGTTAATTTTCATTCAATTGCAAGGAAAAACGAATAACCCTAAAAATTAACACCAGCGTTGAATAACCCTATTATTCACCGGCGAATAACCTTTTTAGTTTGTTGATTTGTACTCATGAAAATGACGTCACAGACGTAAATAAACAAAATGGCAACGTTCAAGTTACAGGAAGCCCATTGATCGAGAGAAGAGGAAATAAGGCTTTTGACGTGCATCTTGTGCCGATGATATCTCTAATAATGGTCCTTTTCAGGACCATCAATATTTTACTAAAAGAATCTACCTTTGTTGTACATACGAGAATTCTAAGACACAAATTACATGTATTTTTGAACGTCAACTTGTGTTTGTTACTGACTCAAGTAAGGGTAAGTGCTTTTACAATGATTCAAAATGCCCTTCAATTGTTAGTTCGGTATAATAAAACAATTGTGGCCCCTTAGAAGCGATGAATATCCAAAATTATCAACCCTTAAAAGTTATTTCACTTCGGGCTGCGCCCAAAGTGAAATAACCTTCTCGTGTTGACAATTTTGGATATTCACCTTTTGAACGGGCCATAATTGTATATTATTCATGCTAAAACAATAAAACAAGCTGTTAAGATCACCAACAACAAACACACTAACATTAGACACAAAGCACCGATATAATAGTACTGTAAGCATGTTCAAGGCCAATTGCAACTAGTAAATACATCATGTTCTCCTGGTTTGTTAATTTTTCTTCTTCAAACTATGTATATTGTTTCATTTGGTCCACTTAGTCTGTAGGACATTTTACTTGAGGAACTCTTGTTAATCAAGGAACTGAATGTATATCAAAGAAGCACTGAAAGGATAATTGAATGTAAAAAACACGTGTGAAGGACTTTAAAATAATAAAAGTTACGAGGACAGACATTTGTCTGTATGTACTGTTAAACATTTTTGGTAGTTTATAGAACCAAAGTAAAACAAATTTGGTTCGTTATAGTCAAATTACAAGAAAACATGATTATTGGTTATTCGAATTAAGTATTTAATTGATGTTTTACTGATTTCAAATAGCAAAAAGCATACAAGATTCTCTAAATATGTCTGAAATTCTATAAATCAAATGTTCCACTGTAAAAAAGGAGTCTTGATTGGGTTTTTTTTTTCATTTCTGCTTTCATTTATCTTTAGGCCATTCTCTCTTTTATTTTTTTCCGTTGCACATTATTCTCTTTTATTGACATTAAAGCATCAACTTTTCTATATATATATATGAAGAAAAGTTAAGTAGAATCCGTATGCTGGTAACATATAAGACAATTACTAAAAGATAATAACGGTTTCAATTCATCACTTTTACTAGCGCTTTCACTGCTTTTACAGATCTTCAGGTAATGTGACTTGTATACATAAGTGTTATACAAAACATTTGATTGACGTTAACAATAGTATGACGTTAACAAATACAAGGGAGACTACTAATGTCATTTAAAAACTTGAGTAAAGTCTTTAAAGTGTTATTTAAGTAAAAAATAAAATATTATTTATCATTTAATCCCGGGTTGAGAATGTTTATTAATAATTCTTTTTTCTACTTCCGGAGAAAATCATTTTGACGATTCACCATATACAATGGAAATATCTTAAATCGTCAATTTGAACAACGATGGAAATGATCGTTAGACCGGATGATTGTTAAATCTTCATGGGTGGTTTGCTGCCTATGAACAGTCATTCTAGAACGCAGTTCATTTTTGTCTCTCCAATATAGAATTCCTCACAATTCGAACATATGAGAGAATAAATGACGTTTGAACTTTTACAAGACATGTTTTGACAGATAAAAAAATGGACAAACAAACAAGTACAATTATTAAAAAACTACTAAATAAACATAAGACTGAATTGTGTAAAGGAGAGATGGATTACATTTCAAACTCTAAATTTTCAGAAAGCTATTTCTATGGTTTACCTAAAATTCACAAAAGTGAGGAAATTTCAAATGCGGTATCAGAACAGAACAGTGAATACATCGAACTTTTAAGACCAAATGATTTAAAATTTCGACCTATTGTGGGCGGACCCAACAGCGTCACACAGAATTTAAGCCATTTTATAGACATTGTGATTAAACCTTTATGTCGTGAAGTTCCAAGTTTTAAACGAGACGATTTAGAATTTTTAAATCATCTACCAACAACGGTAAATCCTTATTCCGAACTCTTTACTTTTGATATTGTCAGTCTTTACAGAAAAATCCCACATGACTTAGGAATAACAGCCGTAAAATATTGGTTAGAAAATACGGAAAACGTCATTGAAAACAGATTAACAAAAGAATTTATTCTTGCATCTTTGAAACTGATATTGGAAAGAAATATTGTTTACTTTGACAGCACATACTATCATCAGAAAAAAGGAACAGCTATGGGTACTAAAATGGCGCCTTCATACGCCACTTTAGTACTTGGATATTTGGAACAATTATTATACAAAAAAATGGACCCTAAATACGGAAATGAATTTGCAATTTACATACGTCAAAACTGGAAACGATTTCTTGACGATTGTTTTATAATTTGGAATTCGGATATATCTGTCTCAGATTTTCAATCTGAATTAACTTCTTTAAATCCAAATATTCGTTTCAC